ACAGAGCAGTTATGGATAAAGGTGACAAACCTGATGTCTTCAATGACGGCTCTCTGGATTGTGTCCTCGGACTCACAGCTGTCACCCTCCTTTTCATCTCCGTCAGACATTTTGAGCTGTTCCTCGCCCTGGCCTCCTTCAGCGTCGCTGCTGACGTCTGATATCTCTCCGTTAGGCACCGAGGCCAACTCATACAGCTGCTCTTCATCCTCTTCCTCCTCCTCAGCCTCTATGTCTTGCTCATCGTTGACTTAAAGAACACATTTGGTAAAAGATTATAATTTTTCGCAGCGTGAAAACAGTAATAAAGTTCAAAATCCTGCAGTGGAGAGCCACTTTCAATCACCTTGGTGTGGGCTGTGGTACAGCTGGGAGGATTCAAAGCTGTTGTCCATGATGTTATCCTCAAGAAAGTCATCTTCACTCATGTTGAGAGCTGACAGACTGCTGCACTCAGAATCTGTCAAATTAGACTGAAGACATAAGAAAGGTAAGAAGAACACGTTAATAACAGAAATATGCTGCTGAGCAACAGTTCATTGGTATAGAATTACAACTAGTAAACAACATTGTTGAGTATTTCTTCACATTTCTGTATTTTCACTGCTTTGTACTTTCCACACAATTCAAATGATTAATGGCGATACATAATGTCCAAAATTTACTGTGCTGTCACTGACCAATCAATCTGATCAATATGACTTAGTGGCACCTCATTGGTTAGCGCTGTTTCCTCACAGCAAAATGGATCTGTGAGGAGCTCCACATTTTTATACTTTGGATTCTCGTAGAGTTCCTCCGCATGATTCAAAGTGCAAAATAATCTGTTGGAGCCGAGTCCAGGCCAATATTTTACTCAGTTACATCATGCCATATTTAAGTATTTGTCAAGATCTTTAAGTTTCTATTATAATCTTGATCATTTTATGTTATAATGTAATCGGCTGTGCTCCATAAATTAATCCTGCTTTGTTAGTCTGTTGTTGTAAAGTGTTGATAGGTGTCGTAAAGGGGGGTGTATTTGGCCCGCATGCGGAGGGGTGTGGGTAAAAGGTTAGGTAAGCAAGCAGGACGGGGAGCAACAGTTTTCTGAACGTCGCCGTTTTAATGTTATTTTTTGTTGTATCATAAAGGGAATGTAAACGGAGCTCCCACCAGAGGCATTTGTTTTGTACCTTTCGATTTGTATGGAAAATAAATGTTTTGCCCCCTTTTTTCCTTTGCCTCGTTTTTGCTACCAGAAGGCATCCAAGCTACTAAACAAGAGCACGAGGCAGAAACTTTACGTCCTGCAGAAACGGCAAAGAAGGACCGAAGGTTGCCGTTACATAATCCTTAGTAATTTAATAGTGGGCCTTTGTGTAGCCGTCCAGGTAATCCACTGTCTGAAACAAGCTGATTTCCCTTTAATTGTACATTTTCTAATTACCCTCTGCAGAATTTTAATAAAACCACCAGGAGGCCGCTCACGTGCAAACAGCCAGAGTTGCATCAGGAATATCACTGAAATCTACGAACAAGTATT